ATCATTTGATTCTTTCGTGAGGAAACACAATTTCAAATAAATATTTTTTTATTTATTATTATATATCTATACTTACTTTTTATTTATTATTTCTATTTATTATTATATACCTATATTTACTTTTTATTTATTATTATATACCTGGATCCGCCACTGTAATGCAGGTTGTGAAAAAATCATTCTCTAAAAAAACTGCAAACTGATAAAAGAACAAAAAAAGCATATCATTTTGTTTTTATTTATGTACATTTCTAAACCAAAACAGATTTCAAATTAAAAATAAAATATTAAATTAATTAAATCGAATTAAATAGTTTATTAAAAATATAATTTTATCGTTAGATATGCTTATATTTAATTAATAAATAATAATCATGATTTTTTATTTTTAACTATATTTAATTTATATTATTTTTATAAATATTAAAACAGAATAATACGTTATTTGTAGCTTATGTTATTTATTTATGGGTATAAGAAGTTGCAATTATGAATATGATAATAATTGATATTTCTAGTATAAAATATTTAATAACTACTTTTTAAAATTTGTATTATAACAAAATTCTTTTAATTTTTTATAATTTATTTTGAATCAGATATTATATTTTATTTATACTTCAAACTGTGAGCTTCCTATCTTTAACTTGTAAATTTATTATTCGCTCTCCACAAAAAATCAAAAAATAGTTTATAGGATATATTTTTTGTGTACATTGGAAACTTGTTCTTCCACAATATATTCTTGTATAATATAAATTAAGTTCCATAAGTACTTGGACTCACACTTTTCCAAATAATACATCCTAACAACTAATTTCAAGAAATAAATTTGTAAAAAAAAAAAAAAAAAAAATTTATGAAAAAAAAAAATTCTCATTTTAAAAGTCGGGTTTGCTTCATCAGGGAAGCAGAGCGGAGTCCATGGGCCCAATATCTTTATATAATAATGAGAATTACTCTCTGCACCATTCTTTTACTTTCACATCCTCCTTCCTCTTTAAATTCATTCATGGATTGATCCTTTAATAGTGTTTTGTGAATAAGTGAACATAAAAAAGACTATGTTACCAAGGTAGATTAGATATTAAACATACCAAGTGTGCAACAGGTGAAGAGATTGTAGTAATTGTTGTAAAAATAATAATAATAATAATAATAATAATAATAATAATAATAATCCCGATTTTGATTCTAACAATCAAACATAAACATAATCCCATACGAGATAAACATGCTGTAAACTGAATGCGAAAGCGTACCTGAATTAGCCATAACGATGATGTCTTTGTAGAGCACTATATTGATCTTATGGTCTTCCACCTGAAGAGCACCTGTATTTCCCTCTTGATTTTCTCTCTTGATGGGGATAGAAAGAAAGGAACGAGACTGATACTTTCGTTCTGTGTGTGTGCTCTCAGATGTCTCAGAAGGGGACCATGACCCTTTAGATAACCAGAATTAGGTTAATTACTTAAGTTTTAGTATTTCCAATTTGGCCCCTCATCAAATTAGAAATTGCTCTATGGTCTCTACACAATTTTATTTTCATGACATATGCTTTTAGCCAAAACTTTAATTTAGTCAGATCACTTTATTATTTGGCTTAATAAATAATGACCCTAACACATTTAAATTATGTATCATATATATACATGACCCAAATTTTTCCAACAATCTCCCACTGGTCACAAATATATATGTCCTTACAACCTTACAAATGTGTTATACTTTATGAGCTCAAAATTGTCATTATATTCCTTTAGCATACTCTATAAGTCCTGTCCATTAATCATATCAGGATATAGAACCAAACCAGCTTTTCATTGCATCATCGCAACTAAAACCAACAATGATTACTCATCCTAACATAACCAAATGACATGGATTCATCATGAAATGTGTAGCATGAAAAATTACGTGAAGGTGATCTATACATGTCTATTTTCAACTGGTCCAAACTTTAACTTATCGAGATCGATATAATATCCTTAATGTACAAAGTGTAATGAATGAACGAAAAAACCGCATATCTATAGATAACCAAATATGTCCAAAAAAACAATGTATACATATATGAAATTAAACATAGAACATAAAATATACAAAAGTGACTAACTCCCACTAAACCACAAATTTCTCAAACTGTAAAACACCCATGTGAGCAAAATGCTCATGAAAGACCTTGGGTGGAAGTCCTTTAGTCAGAGGATCTGGTATCATGGAGTTTGTCCTTAAGTGTTCTATGAAAATCTGTCCACTTTGTACTCTTTCCTTAACAATACAGCTGATTTATTGTCACAATATAACTTAAGTGGTCTTTCAATGCCTTTCACAATTTGCAGCCCTGTGACAAAATTTATCAGCCATATTCCATGATTTGATACCTCATAGCAAGTTACAAATTCTTGACATCCTACAAAATCTGAGTCAGAAAATCCAACGATCTCCAACTGGTCTGACCTCCTATATGTGAGCATATAATCTTTTGTTCTCTTTAAATATCTTATGACCCTTTTTGCTGTTTTTCAATGGTCTATTCCTGGATTGCTTAAATATCTGCCTAGAACCCCAACTATATATGTTATGTCTGGATGCGTACATACTTGGGCATAGATCAAACTCCCTACAACTGATGCATAGGGAATCTTTTGCATTTCCTCAATTTCCAAATTCCCTTTGGGCACTCGATTGAGACTAAACTTGTCTCCCTTTAAACTTATGATGCATACAATCATCAACAATATTCATCTTGAAGCCAAATGAGTTTCATTGAGGACCTGGAACATAATTTAAATTGGCGAATACTAGAAGCAATTGTAAGCTGGATTAGAACAAAAGAAATAAACTAATTATGCTCACATTATAAAATAAATAATTATAAATAAAATATATATTCAAATAATGGTTTAACCCATCTCAAGATACCCAATGCACCATCAATATCAAGTCTTTGGACGAGTAATATTAACTGCTAGAGGTATCTTGTTGTAATAATCAAACATTGACAATAAAACACGTCCAACAACAAACCGGTCTTTGGATTGATTTATCATCGACAAAGCAAATCCTTATAATTATCACATGTTTATCATTACAAGTGTGTATGCAATTCGGCCAAATATTAATCTTCCTTTGGGCCGACTAATACTCGCATGAATATACACAAACACTAACATTCAATATTTTTCATGAACTGCCCAATTCAAGAGAAGTTACTTTGGTGACTTCTTGACTCAATTTGCTCACAAAAAATATTAAACTACCAAAAATTGAATATTTTATTTATATAACAAAACCAAATATTTAATATTTGCAAACTAATTCAAAAGAGAATCATCTCATTAGAATTCTACTAAGGATGAACACCTCCCTAAAATCTCATTAGGGATGAACACCTCATTTGAATAAATCAAAGGAAAAAAAAAGGCCTCATCTTCCACCAATACATAAAGGATTAACATCTCCCTAAAATCACACTAGGGATGAAACGAGAGATAGTTCGAGTCTCTTTAGCATACTGCTCTAAACCCTAAAAGGGAATTAAACAAGTAATCACTCGGACCCTAATTTAACATCAAATTTTCTTTAAATTCCTAGGGGATAGAGGCAATAAAATAATAACGATCAAACATGTGGAAACATTCATCATTTACCTAAGATTCTCTGTATTGGGAACTCCACAAACACCACCCCCAATTCCAAACCCATAAAATTAAATAAAAACAAAAGATTAAAAAAAGAACAGAGAACCCAATACAAGAAAAATTGAAATATGAAACACGGTTTCTTTCTCAGTAAAACTTGAAACTTAAACTGAAACAAAAGTGAAAAACGAAGAAGAAGAAGAATCCATAACTTCCTCCACGGTTCCTTCAGCAAGCAGAATCAGATTGGGGATGTTACCCCCAAATTTAAATTTTAGGGTTCATGAAAATTAGAGATTATTCTCCACTTAGGGTTCATAAAATTGGGTAATTTGAATTGTTTAAAACAAAATTAATCCTAATTTTCATAATTAGGGTTCTATAAATTAAACAGACATGAATCAAATATGGGCGGCTCGATACCAATTGTTGTAAAAACAATAATAATAATAATAATAATAATAATAATAATAATAATAATAATCCCGATTTTGATTCTAACAATCAAACATAAACATAATCCCATACAGATAAACATGCTGTAAACTCGAATGCGAAAGCGTACTCGAATTAGCCATAACGATGATGTCTTTGTAGATATTGATCTTATGGTCTTCCACCTGAAGAAGACCTCGTATTTCCTCTTGATTTTCTCTCTTGATGGGGATAGAAAGAAAGGAACGAGACCGATACTTTCGTTACATGTGTGTGCTTTCGAAGGGGACCATGACCCTTTAGATAACCGAATTAGGTTAATTACTTAAGTTTTAGTATTTCCAATTTGGCCCCTCATCAAATTAGAAATTGCTTCTATGGTCTCTACACAATTTTATTTTCATGACATATGCTTTTAGCCAAAACTTTAATTTAGTCAGATCACTTTATTATTTGGCTTAATAAATAATGGCCCTAACACATTTAAATTATGTATCATATATATACATGACCCAAATTTTTCCAACAGTAATGTTTTTTCACATTTAAATTATGTATCATATATATACATGACCCAAATTTTTCTAACAGTAATGTTTTTTTAACTCCAAAAGAGACTGCTAGGAGAAAAAGATCTCATCTCTTTAGATTGAAATAAATATAAATAAACAATCTCTTTAAACCAATTTTGTACCCTATATACACTCTTAAATTGAGCTTGAAGTTCTTATCATTATGAAGAATTTTTTCAAGACTCCTTTTTAGTGATCATTGGTGTTACTTGTCTACTGAGAGTTTTCCCCGGAAACTAAAATACACACAGAATTGATTGCAAGTGAAGTGAATACAGCCTAAGATATGAATAACAGCATAATAATAGTGATGTAGGAGGGCATCTATAGCTGATGGGATTTCTAGTTATGGAGAAGAGAAAGAGTCACCCAGTTGAAGCCACTTTTGTTCATGCAAAGAGGCTGTGTTGGCTTCTGAGATGCCCATTAGAGCCTCCAAAGCCCCTTTGGCTCTGTTGTAGGACCTGCGTTGCCGTATGCGTCGGAGGACAGCATGTTTGTCCATGCTTGCAGAATGTGCATTTGAAGACTTCAACTGAAGCTGGCTCGATATCACTCCCTCTGTTGCACACTCTTTGTGTGCTACGTTATCCAGATTCTCCTTCTCTCCCTCTGGGAAAGCTGATTGAGATTTGGAAACCGTGAAAGCCATTTTTCTCTCTCACTATCTTGAGAATCACAACATATAGGAGTGGATTCATGATAAGTGAGATTCACATATATAGTGACACTGGGTAGTGGTTTTAGTTTCACTTTCTTTCCGCCTGTGGTTTTGCCAAAACAGGGGTTACAGAGGCAAAGAGTGCGTGGCAAAAGGATTGACACCTTTAGAATCAGTAGCCTCTGTTAACAGTGTGGTGTCAAACCTACATGATTCCACATTTTGGTTTACTCACGTGGCTGGTTAAGGTGAAGAGATATTTTTTTCCATCATTTGCTGCAAAACCGACAACATGCATTGGGTGTGGAGCTGAACATATGTGTAGATTTGTTTATCAAATCCTATAATTTAATTATTAAAACAATGTGAGGCGGTACACAATGAATATATAATTTTATACATATTATTTAGCTGGGTCTCTGTAAATGATAAAATTTGTAGCACTTTTTCAGAGACAATAGAGGGTTAACACACTAATTACTTCTAAAAATAGAGAAGAATATGTTATCAGATATCATACATACAGTGATAGAACCATGGAAGTAGCTTGGATAACTAGTAGAAAATGACAGCAAGAAAAACAAACTGCTTTGATGTAAACCAAGGGCTATTCTGTTCCCGACTCTTTCTGCTTTTCTTACTTTGCACCTGAACACCAGTGCCAGCGAACAATTTGTAGTGATGACCTTCATAGTAGATTTCAAATACTACTTGGTAGTTTAAGAGATCAAAAAATTGAACTGCTTCTTATGTGACAATTAATCAGAATAAAAAAGAAAGTGATATACCCTTTTGCTGTGAATCTAATTCAGACCAGGGAGCTTCTGTGCATTAATTATCATACTTGGTGTGGTAGGAACCTCTGTCAACGGTAGTTTCAGTTGCTTACTGGGCAGGGACAAATCTGAGATGAAGACTAGGTGGACCACCTATTGAGATTCATTGATGAATAATGTTCTTTATTAATTATTAAAGGTTATATCCTACCAAAACTAGTTGGGGTGTGATGAAGGCAAAGGCAAAAAAACTGCAATAACAGAGTGAACATCAATGTTTCCTGTCATTGAAATTCAGGTGACATCCTGAGTAAAATCATGTCAAGATCCACAGCTGAAATCAAGTAATCATGCAAATCAAGCTTTGGATTTAGGATTACAACTTTAAATAAACGGACATATCCCAACTTTAAATAAACGGACATATCATTCATAATGGGATAAGGAAAAGAGGTAACATAGGAACAGCAGCAACAAAATGAAAACACACCAAAAATAAGAAAACCCAGAAAACAAAAAAAGGACAATAATCCAGTAATGAAGGTGTGAACCTAACTTTACCTTGATATTTTAAAGATAATATTGGGTAAGATATTCGGATCACAGTAGTACATGTAATTATATCGGTCTTTAAAAAAAAATACTTGTATTCATCTTCATGCTAGTACAAATCCATCTTGTAATTGTAACAGTGGATATCTATAATAATTATAGCATTTTATTTATGTATAAATTTAATGATACTCCCTATTAGATGAAAAGATAATTAGTTTTTTTTTTTTTTTTTTGTATTATACATAATAACACTGATAGTATAGAAAGGTAATTGTAAATATAAGTAAACTGATATTATTTAAAATACTTATTTTTATGATCTAGACAGTATATGTAATACATTCAAAGCTGAAAAAAAAATTAAAACAATACTTCAATTTATTATAAAATAAGATAAAATAATAAATAAATATTATATTTACTATATAATTTCTTAGACTTTATTTATTTATTTCTATGTCGTCACACCTATGGGGGACAAGAGCACAATTCTTTGTTTATAATTTAGATTTGATTACATTTTGTGTTTTAATATGGTATCTTATTTTAATAAAATAATTTTTTTGAAAATTTGAAATTTCACTCTTAAATAATCCAAATATAACATACAACCCTGAAGTATATAATTATTTTTATATATAAAATATATTTATAATATAATTATTTGCACAAAATATCTTTTAATTAATGTATATAATAAATTAACATACGCTGAGTAATAAATGAACATCCAAACCTGTGTAAGATACATTCACCACCATTCACCTCGACTCGAGTGTATGGGTTACTTGCATGATGCAATACCAACTCCTAACAAAGTCATAGACACTAATGCGTTTTTAAATTTATAAAATATATTTTTATTGTAAAGAAATATTATATAAAAAAGTTTTATTGATAATTTATTTATATTATTTATAATATATATATATATATATAATAAAAATTATAATAAAATATAAAATAATAGTAATAGTAGCATTTTAATCTTATTTTTTAAAATTAAATTAATAATTTAATATATTTTCATTTCTTTTAAATAATATTAAAAAATTAAAACATAAAAAAGCTTTTATTAAATAATTCAAATAAAAAATAATATTTTCTTTTTACACATCAAGTTTGTTCAAAAATATGTATCATTATCTTTTATTTAATTTTTTTTGTTTTTTTATCTTTAACAAACTTTTTTTTCATCAAATTTAAAGTAAAATGTGTGTCTTTCATATCAATTTTGAATATTTAGTTGTTTGCATATTTGATCATACACAAATTTTGTTTAAAATTCACCTTATAATTTTTCTCTAACAATTATTATTTAACAAATTTTAATTAATCTTAAGAATATATAAAATATTAAAATTAATTTAACACCTAAATAACTTATAATTACAATTATTTTTTGTCAAGGGTGGATCTTGATCATTGATTCTGGATAAAATAATATATTATTAATAAATAATAAATAAATATAAAATGATAAAAGAAGATGGAAGAGTGAGATGATAAAATTATAAATATATTAAATGATTATTAAGTTTGAGGACCCTAAATCATAAATTATATGAGAGTTACAGAATCGAGGGAGATTGAATGAATAAAATTATAAATATATAAATAAATATATTAAATGATCATTGAATTTTGATGACCAAAATTATAAATTATATGTGGTGGGGTTACAAAACTTTGAGGGAGGCCACAACCTCCTCAATTCCTATAAAGATTTGTCATTAATTTTTATATCTTTCACAACTATTTGTTCTTTATTCTCCCGTTCTTACTTTAAAAATAATATATTTATTGAGTTATTAGAAAACTTTTTGATCTTCAGTATGTAATTTATACAGTCATTATCTATTAGTCAACATATAAATATGTTGGTTAGAAAACATGTTGAAGATATACGTTTAAACTTTAGAACCTCGACAGGTTATTTTGATATTGAGATTTGTATATATTTTCTGTATATCTTAATTAATTGATCATATTTGTTATATTTAACATTTTGTTTCCAACTTGATCTTTAACCTTTGGTTTCCACCAACACAAGTTTGTTTTTTCAACAAAGAGGAGAAAAATATATTTATCATTATTTTGATTTTCTAAATAAAATAATAATATAATATTTTTTTATCTAAATAATATATAAAAAACTAAAACATAACAAAATATTCTTAATAACTAATTTAAATAAAATAATTAGACATTACTCTAGTTCAACAAAATAATTCAATGGAGAAGATCTACATGCCATAACAAATGATGAAGGTATAAAAAGAAGAATGAGACCAAAAGGGTTGAGAAAGTGGTTAAAGGCGAAGAAGGAGTTATAGAATAATAAATATGGTATAAAAATATGGAAGATAATCTGATCCAATAATATATTCATTATAAATAACATAACTTTAATGATAATTCTATTTTAAAATTTTGGATTATTATTAGAAAATAATAAAATATTATTCCACCTAATGTTTTAAAAATAAAATTAGTATTGATTCAATAAAAACATTAAATTATTATATCCGAGATCAATGAATTACTATTTAAATTATATAAAAGGGTAATAACCAATATAAATATTAGAATATAGATAATGAATATATATATATATATATATATATATTGTAATATTTTTTACAATCTTATTACAAATATTGATTTCAATTTAATGATTTGAAGATAAAACTTGATTATTGGATGAATTTACTTTTGAAACTTGCTTAAAAATAAAAGAATGGACATTTGTGCATTCTAGAAAACTAGTCTAATAAATTTGTTCAACATTATGTTTTAGCAATTAATTTAAATTTGAAGTTAATTTGATAATATAACATTTCAACTAGGTTATTACAAATGAAAATTTATTGAGGAGTATTTTTTTAACGATGATTAAAATAAATTTATTGATGTATTTATTATTAAAATTAGTTTTTTAACAATAATAGACAATTATCATCCAACATCCAATATAAATCATACAATGGCAGGAAAAAAAAATAATAATCAGTGTCATATGTACTTTTCAAAAAATTATATAAATGATAATGTTGAATGATAAATATTTTTAGGAAAAAAAAAACATAAGTAAAAAAAACTTAAACCAAAAAAGAACAGAGTCCAAGAAGAAAAATGTATGATAAGACAAAGAGAAAAGCAAAAATATTGACAATAATAAAAGATAGAATAAGTATTACAATAAAAAAATTGATTTTTTTTATTAAATTGAATTAAAGAAAATCTATCATGATGATGAAAACTAATCATATCATATGTAAATATGATAATTATTTTAAAACTATTATTATAAACAAAATTTACCATGACAATTATAAAATGATTATCATCATAAATAAATACAACAAAGATTAAATTAAAATTGTTATAAAAAATTAAATTTAAATACAAAAATATTACTATAATATTTTCAACCATTACTTAATAAAAGTAAAAATAAATAATTATAAATATATCTTACACTAGAAAATATACATTCAATCTAAAACATGAATCAATTTAATTATCCCCATTCAACTAGTTTGATCCAATCAAGCCAAATTTAACCAAATTTAAAATACTAACAGAAGGTTCAAGCTCCATAACATTTTAAGTTTTATGATTTTTGGTATTTTGTTTCTTAGGAAAAGTTATTTTGTAATTTTTTTTTTAAATGTCTTGTATTTGAAATTTAAAACATTGTTTTTAATAACTCTTTTTCCTTTCTCAACCTCATCCGTATTATTTTACTTGTATGAAAATTGATTTTTAGTTACATTGACACAATAGTAATCATCTTAAATTTACTTTTGAATAAAGTTATCCCATAAACTTTTAATAATAATAATAAATAATTTATATAATTAATTATTAAAATAATATAAATTTAGTTGTGATTCTAAACACATTCCGATATTTACTTGACTGACAGATAGGGTTTTGGTATAATAGTATAATTTATTCATCATCCTTTTGGTCAATATAACTCAATAGAAAACCACTAACTACCCTCCGTGCTACAGGATTGGGAATGCCACGACATAGACGTCCATCAATATAAGCCAACAAGGCAGAAAAGACAAATTTGCCAATGCCCCATTTTCGAATGAAACTCACTTTCTGCACTTCTTTATTAGAGTTCGCGGACACATCTGCATGACACCCAACCTTGGACTGCTTTCCCCAGTTTATGCTGAATATAAACTTGTTGGCCCGCCTTCGCAGTATGCGTATTGCAAAGCTCACAAAAAGATGCTCGCACAATGTCAAGACTGTCGGTCCTATTTTCCATTCCTGACACAAATAAAACCCCGAATCAACAACTTTACATGTAAGTAGCAAAACTATTTGCGAATTATGCGATTAGTAATTGTAATAAAGAAGTACGCGGATTTCCCTTTCAGAAAAATGTCATGCACTCATTTTTAAATAAACTCACAACGTTAACATCATATATGACAATTGAGACGATTCCAAACTAAACTAGTGCATTACAGGCATGTAGAGAATATTAGTCTGGGAAGCTATTTAGCACGAGATCATTAATATGTAAACCCATGATTCCCATGTAAAAACACCGGGATACTTTAAGTGAGAGTAGAAAACATAGGTGAGTCATCATTATAATCATTTAAAGTAACTGCTGTGACAGAATATGGAAGCAGGAAGATGGAAATACCAGATAGAGAAGAAAATGGTGAAATAGTGGGATAAATGAGAAATGCTCGCTAGAATAGAACATACACTTTCTCCACGAAGACGGCTTAAAGAGCGGGATCTGGTTGAGGGATCTCCTTTAAGTAATGCCTTGCTTACAAGGAACTCCTTAACACGATCTGTTATCTCATTAATAAGAGAATGATTTGGAGGTAGGTTTTTCAGGATAACCTAAACAGGTACATGAGTCCATCATAACCACAGTAAAGGGCAAAGGTTAATATTTTATGTATAGAAAAAAGATTCATTATGAAAGCAAATAATAATAAAGATACAGGTCATCGACCAGAAAACTAACAGAAAGTTACAAAGAAGAATCAAACAAAACTCGATAGCTGACATATTTTGTTTGATGATTTTTCAAATTTGTATCCTCTCCAGCATTAAAATCAAATCAATCACGTCAATGCATAACATGCACGCAAAGTTGTGAATAACAATCTCAAAGCAAGGTTCTGTACGTAAAAATTCATTCGGAAGTATGTGGTAAGTTGTGCAATGCAATTTTTCCAGATATAGACAGGCTAGAAAGATAATCTTGGTATATGCAATTTATTACCTGATTGTCAATAACTCTGACTCTAAGGTATTCTTGTCTATAAACTGTATCCAGCATGGCTTGGATATATCCTTCAATGTATAACTGCACCAGACCACATATCTAATTAGCAAAAAATAACCAAATCAAGATTTAAAAAAAATGATAGAAGAACTGAAACATAAATATTTCTTTTGTTAAAGATGGAAGAATTTGACAGATGTATGCCTATTAAGAAGGAAGAATTTGGCGCATATATGCTATAAAGATTGCATCGGTTGAGATCAGAGCTCCGGGACAAAAGCTAGGGGCATGCATTACAATGAGATGTGAAACATGAAGAACTAACCCTTATTTACCAATTATAGACTCTTAATATTAAGGAGCAAATAACTTTCTAAAGATAAGATCGCTAAGAATTAGATAAAGTTCCTCAAAGGATAAGATATTCTAACATATATAATCAATATGCTATCGGATATTTTCCATATTCACTAACACGGTAAATATCCTCCATAACTAACTTCCCTCGAGTAGGTTTCTAATTAATATTGTAAAACTCAGCTATGAACTGTGTTATGACAGTCCCACACTGGTTGGATTTGAAATTATTGTAACAACTTTTCCTACTAGGACAGAACATTAGTGACCATCGAAATACGTTTTAGGGAAGTAATTATTTGGTTTAGTCTAATAATATAATGCTCTGTGAAATTTCATTTGTTCAGAAATAATGTTCAGTCCTCTTTCATTCAACTATTGTAACCAAACAAATTTCTAATTCTCTTTGCTCCCCTACCCCCGTCATATTTTTGATACATGTCTTAGAATTTGAACTTGGGGCTTAAGCAATCCGATAAAACCTACTTAAAAAGGTTGATTGCCCTAACATTATAATCTCTATTTAAACCGCATCTCTAATTAATCTAGAACTAGGCCACCACCCTTGAGACTGTGATTAAGGCAAACCCTAAAGTGGCCTCAATGAAGGCGAACTAAAACCTATGTGTAAAATGTTGATTGCCCTAACATTATAATCTCTATTTAAACCACATCTCTAGTTAATCGAGAACTAAACCACCACCCTTGAGACTGTGATTAAGGTAAACCCTAAAGTGGCCTCAACTAAGGCGAACTAGGGGTGACTGCAATGAAAATAACGTTCCAACCCTCCTCCATGCCTAGGGCAACCAGCTTGGAGCCTGACAGTACGTTGACTCCAAAATTGATTTAAAAGCTAACTTCAATACCATCTAAGAATTTGGATTTAGGGCCTAACTTATCCTCACAAACTTGTTTGTAAGGTGAGGACTGTCCACGCTCTATAAGTTTTGTTTAAGCCACGAGACTGTAATTAATGCCACCGGAAGAGGCTGCAACTAAAGCAAGTTTGTTGTGTCACCACAATTAGGGTGATTTCCAACAACATGCATTCCTTCAACCTAAAGTTTGAAACAATTTTGTTTAGAAACAAAGGAATTAAGAAAGGGATATTCCTTGAAATGAACATACAGCCCAAGAGAATAAAATACAGATTTTCAACTCGGACATATTAATATTGAAACACAGCAGGCGCAACAAGACAGAATTTAACACCTCGTCAACTCCTGGACTTCGATCAAGCAATATTTTTCTATCCGGACCACCTTCCATCAATGCAGTTCCCAGAACTGATGGCTCCATAGCCAATTTTAGAATTCCTTGGTGAAAGCCGCTCATCTTGAAAATTAAATGTCAAAAATGAAATATTAAAGACATCATAATTCAATAGAGAATAAGTCTCTGCTAAAATGATAGTAACCGAATTTGCAAACAGGTGGTAATTCTTTACCAATCCATTGAAACCGTTTGCCTCTGCACCTCTGAGAACAGAGTCTGATATTTCAGCTACAGCTGCAAAAGCTACATTGGAGCCTGCTGACCTCAACTGCTGAGCAGTTGTGTTAATACGCTGATATCCATAATCACATTTGCAATTCCATGAACAAATTGACAACATAAAGCTAAGAACTTACAGTTTTCCCTAAATCACCAAAGTACCGTTTTGTCCCTGAAAAACCTTTACCTTTGATACATTTACTTATAATTTTAAAAGTACCTGGTAAAAAGAAAAACCAAAATAAAAAACCCACAAATAGTAAGTAGAAACAACTGTTAGTGAGGAATAACCAGATCTCCTATCCAAGAGAGAGAGGGCTTTCACATGAGCCAAGATCTATTTCTGGGTATTGGGTGTTTCTAGGGATGAATCTGGCAACTTGGAGGTGTAAAAGGCAAAATATAGTTGCTTTATTTAATGTCAAACCTAAATTTCAAGCAATAATGTAGGAAAATTTTGAAGGATTATTGATGAAGATCATTCTTGATAGACGCAAAATTAAGTATGAGATCCCAATGAAATTACCATGTGACATAAGTTGGGTATTAGCATCGCCCAGTCTTGTTCAACATGACCATACCAAACATAGGAATTAACAAACATCTAATCAAAGATTAGCTCGACAATGGCCAGATAGTTACTGTAAATGTTTCTATAGAACTCCAAGTGGCTAATATCTTCAAGAAGGGGCTTCCTACTAATAAATTCCAAGAGCATAGAGGCAAGTTGGAAATGATTAATATTCATTTATCAAATTGAGTGAGAGTGTTGTAAGTAATAGAAATATCTTGGGGATCTAAAATTTAATTTTTTTTATCTTCTCTTTTTTAATCCTTTTCCGTCTATCTTTACTTTATAGTTTCCTTATTTAGGGACAGTTGCCCCCCCCCCCCCATAAAAAGATGATTAGAAAATAATTTTTTTTCCACAATTTGTATAGATAGAAATTAGGGATTTTGTTCATTTATGGTATACTTAATTGTACCATTATTTGATTATAAATAATGTTAAAGATCCCACTTCAAAATGTGTGGTATACAATATTCAAACACCTCCCCCCACTCCCCCCTCCCCCCTCCCCCATCCCCTACCCTCACTGAGGGTGACAGTTGAGAAAACTTAGCCCCATGACAAACCGAAATTGTGTTCAAGAGATAGTTTAGTTTGCACAGAACAATCCATTGATATTGAGTAGGAATGTGCAAAAAACAGTAATTTGATTCTTCATTACTTTTTCTTTACAAAATACGGGTGGTCAATTTCCAGGTGTATAGTAAAGGCAAGAATGTAATTGTGAGCAATGGAGACAATATTCTAGTTGTCAAAGTAGATGATAGGAACCAAAACGGACTCTTGGCCAAAGATTTCAACACTGCTTGAGCTAAGCTACCATATTCAGCATCTACACTTTACTTAATAACCACTTGTTGATTCTTCGACCACCAAGACACCAAGGTGGGACCCAAGTATATAGCTTCACCAAATGTAGATCTACGATCAAGAGCTCAACCAACATCATAGTATGCTTTGAGAGTAAGCAACAAGCTCAATAAGACCATAGTATAGAATACCCTAGGTGTCTGCTTTCTAATTTAATACAAAATTGCGAAAGTATTGTTACACTTTTTCTTTAATCTCTTTTACTGAAAACTCGAAATCTATTTCTAGGTTCTTATTAGAAATAAAAGTGGAGCATACAGTAAGCTAATCGAGCATATCATATACCTAAGGTGAGTCCTGGAAGATTTGCCAATCCACGAGATGGATCAAAGAATACATCAAGAGATGATGAAGCCAAGTCATCGAAAATAGAAACAAAATCTGGGGGAAGCAAAGGGCTTCCTTTAGCAATATATATGGCCCTCATTGTATACCTGGAGAAACTCTTCAATTTGAGTCATTACTTTGATACACAATTGAAAGGAAAGTATGTCACAGGCTTACCATGAATAATGTTGTGCACATTTAATAAATAATTCACGTATTGTTATCAGAGCATGGGTAATTAGGACCCCATTCAATTCTACTATCATATTTTTTATGGGAGGCACCTGCGGAGAAAAATAAGGATTTAGCATGAATAAGTGCACGAGTATATATCATGTTTAAGAAAAGAAGGCCAATGAAGAAATGTTAAACAACCTTAATCACACTATGAATTAAGGATCTCAGAGCCTCCTGCGTTGAGTTGTAACTTGAACGTGAATCCCCAGGGATAAAGCTCGCAATGATCTACAAAATAATATAAACTAAGTCAAAACATTCAAATTGAAGGAAAATAGACATTAATGAAGAAGTACACCTTTATCGGATGGATTTCAAAATTATCAAAGTAAAATCGCTGACTCTCAGAGTCATTAAGAGAAGCTCTCCAAAATGATGCAATTTTCATCAATGTCTCCTCATCAAGATTCAAATCAATTGGCTACAAAAATCAATAAGTCAAATCATATAAGAATAATACCAGTGCACATACAGAGTTGTTGAATTAATTCCTTAAAATTGAATATTCTTCCCTTCTAACAATTTTATTAAGCTTAAAAGTAGAAAAAAATAAAAAAATCTAGAAAGAAGAGAGGATGGATGGAGAAAAAACTAGCGTTCAACTTTACCTGAAGAAAAATTGATGAGTATCTAAATTGCTTTACATTGGAACATGATGTAAGTAGAACAAAAACAATCTTTAGTACACTATCATTTGAGTCACTGTAATCTAAATGATGTCTGCGAAGCATTGACGCAAAAGGAGCTCCATTCCACTTAAGCTCAAAATTCATGTTCTGGATCAATAATAAATAAGACAAATTCCTTGGATGAAATAATGTCCTGAGACTTGGTATAAACAAAAAAAGCTGAACTAAATAGTACAAGTTAGTGAAGAAGCTGAGTAAGGTATTTCAATGACATTACCTGTAAACTGAATTGGTTATATGTTTGGTTATTATTAGAAATAGTAATCATGTGCAGATTCCCAAGCTTTGCTATTACAATTGGAGTAAAATCTTTGCACTCATTGTTGTCTTCCTCCTTCAGAACAAAAAAATTAGCAATATCAATTGAAATTACAAAGACTGCAAATGTTTCAGAACAAAAGGGTGACGTTTAAAACTGGGAAAAAGGCATAATCATACCAGCTAAGCTTTCACTGTGAATTGAATATGACAATATATTGTAAACAAGGAACAATCAACAAACCCTTTTCCAAGGAAAAAAAAACATTTACGACTCTAAAAACTTCACAATCACTATACATTTGTCAATGTTTGTAATTGAAGCACTACAATGTTATCCACATAAAATTCGTAATATATGAAAGATACCCCTTTTGATTTGTATTTCTCTCTTTGGATGGATGAATATGTTGGTAGTGATAAATTATAGAAAATGTGTGGGTAAACTGTGTTCCCCTCTTGGAGAATTCACTCATATATATATATATATATATATATATATATATATATATATATATATATATATATATATATATATGTATATATATTTATGTATATATATATATATAATACAAACTAATATTCTGCTCCGTTCCCTTTAAATTAGCTATATACAATTAATACAATTACTTTACTGTAATATATCCTAATAAAAGAGAATTACTCTACTATACTACTATAATATATCATAATAAAAGAGAATACCAATTACAATTGGTTTTGACGACTAAATAATTTGGCAATCAAAGCTGGCAGATTACGTAATTAACTTCGTTGACACCCTCCTCAAATTGATTCTGGTAAGTCGACCAACATCAATTGATCAACTAGGAAATTATGACACTGTCGGGTCAAAGATTTGGTGAAGATGTAGACAAGTTGAATAGAAGTTGAAACATGAGAAGAGTAATAATTCTGCGTTCATAGGCTTCCCGGATGGAGTGACAGTAAACTTTTATATGCTTTGTGCGTTCATGGTAAACTGGATTTGTTGCAATTTGGATGGCACTAGTATTGTCAGCATGTAATGGTGTCGGTTGTGATGGAGGGAATCCAAGCTCGGTGAGGAGACCATGCAACCAAATTATTTCAGAGCATGCAACAGACATGACACGATACTCAACTTCAGTAGAGGACTTAGAGACAAAATCTTGTTTCTTACATTTCCATGAAATAAGAGCACTGCCCAAAAATATACACCAACCAGTAGTAAAACGCCTCGTATCAGGACAACCAGCCCAATCAGCATCACTGTAAGCTTTAAGAGTGATGGGTGAACCAGTTGGAAAAAATAAACCATGATGAGAAGTGCTAAGGAGATAACGAATTCGTTGCACTGCGGAAAGGTGGAAATGTCTAGAAGATTGCATGAACTTACTGATTGTGTGGACAACAAAAGAAATATCTGGACGAGTGATAGTGAGATATATAAGACTACCAACCAGTTTGCGATTAAAGGTAGGATTTTCAAGAAGATTACCTTCATCTCTTCGAAATTTGACATTAAGTTCCATGGGGGTGTCAACAGGAGTGGAATTAGTGAGGTTTGTTAGTACAATCAAATCTTGAATATATTTGTGTTGATTTACAAATATGCCAGTAGGTGCATAATGCACCTCTAAACCCAAGAAGTAATTGAGTCGGTCTTTCATGTGAAAAGTAGAATGCAACAATGTTTGAAGTCGAGAAATAGCCTCTTCATCAGAACCAGTCACCACAATGTCATCCACATAAGCAAAAAGTATGACAAGTCCTTTAGAAATCCTTTGTAGAGAAAGAGATGGATCTTTGGGTGAAGGAGAAACGAAGTAGTGTGGATCGAAACTTTTCAAACCATACTCGTGGTGCCTGTTTCAAACCATATAAAGAGCGTTTTAGTCTGCAAACAGTATTAGATGGTGTAGGCATACCAATAGGAAGTTTGATGTAAACTTCCTCCTTGAGGTCTCCATGAAGAAAAGCGTTTTTGACATACATTTGATGTAAAGGCCAGGATTGAGACGCAACTAGTGCTAGAATTGTGCGAACAGTGATCATCTTGCCTACCGGTGCGAAGGTTTTATCATAGTCAAGTCCATACTCTTGTTTATTTCCTAGCACAACCAACCGAGCTTTGTGACTATCAATTGATCCATCTGAACATAGTTTAATGGAAAATACAAATTTGTTGCCCAAAGGTTTAGTAGAGGGAGGACATGACACAACATCCCATGTTTGATTTTCTTCAAGTGCTAAGAGTTCTGCTTCAATAGCCTTCTGCCAACATTCATGCTTCATTGCTTGCTTATAAGATGAAGGAATAGAAACAGAGGACAAAGTTGTTGTTAAGGATAAAATATATTTTTCAGGTGGCTTACGAACTTGGGTACTACGACGTAAAGGTATTAGGTCTGCTGTTGGTACAGGATCAACTACAAAGGAATATATTGAGGAGGCCCAATGGTCTTACGTTGTCTTTGATACACTAGGAGAGGTTTGTCTGCAGAAGAATTAGAAAACATTGGCAAAACAGAAATTGGAAAAGGAGGAGAGTCATGGTGAGTGGCAAAATAATATTTATTTTCTTGAAAAATGACATTTCTAGAGATACAAATCCTATCAAGATGTAGATCATAACATATAAAACCTTTTTGTTAAGAGGAATAACCAAGAAAAACACATTCAACAGATTGGGCAGTGAGTTTATGACGTTCGTGGGGAGGAAGATGAACATAGCACATACAACCAAAGGTACGAGAGTGGAATAATCAGGTAGATGGCCAAATAGTCGAGTGAAAGGAGAATTATTGTTTAATGATGGGGATGGCAAACGAATGATAAGAGGAACCGCAGTGGATAGCGCTTCACACCAAAACCTGGAGGACACAGAAGATTCCAACAAAAAGAGTACGAATAACATCTAGTAAATGACGATAGATGACGATTTTTTCGTTCAACTATCTCATTTTGTTGGGGAGTGGAAGGACAAGACCGTTGAGATAAGATAGCATTAGATTGTAGAAATTCCTAAAATAAATGAGGTGTATACTCCCCCCATTATCAAATTGCAAAATTTTAATTTTGGAAGAAAATTGGGTCTGAACATAAGCATGATAAAATTTGAATGTAGAGAATACTTCATGTTTAGACTGCAAGAAATAGACCCATGTGAAACAACTATAATCGTCAATAAAAAGTGACAGTATTTGTACTTAGCATGAGAAGGAATAGGGGCTCTTGAAAAATAGATTAAGCTGAAATATGATTTTTTTATTATTTCAATACAAAGAGATGATATAAGATATATACAAGAGACCTAAACTATTTTAGGAAATATAATAACTCTATTTTATGCTAGGACTTGATTTATGGGATTGTTCCTAATTATTCAAATCATGACAGATTACAAGGAAATATACAAATTTCCTTATTTATTCTTTCCTAAAATACTATTTGATTTCTCACACTCCCCTCAAGTTCGGTGAATAAATGTTTTCCATTCCCGAGCTTGGATACAATCTTCTCAAAATTATGGCAGCCCAGTCCCTTGGTAAGAATGTCCGCAATTTGGTCTTGAGAGGACACATATGGAGTGCATAACAAGCCACTATCAAACTTTTCTTTGATGAAGTGTCCGTCTACTTCAATATGCTTTGTTCTATCATGCTTGCACTTGGGTAGTGGGCTATACTGATTGCTGACTTATTATCACAATAGAGCTTCATAGGTTCTTCCCACTTTATCCTCAAGTCTTCTAAGATGATTTTAAGCCATAGCAACTCACATATACCTTGTGCCATGGCTCGAAATTCTGCTTCAACGACTTGGACCGAGCCACTACACCCCGCTTTTGCTTCTCCAAGTCACAAGATTTCCTCCAAGAAAGGTGCAATATCCTGTAGTTGACCTCCTATCCACAATTGACCTGCATAATCGGCATCGAGTATAGGCTTCAAGCTTCACATTACCATTCCTTTTGAATAGAATCCCTCTTCCTGGAGTTCCTTTAAGGTACTGTAAAATTCGTGGGCAGCTTGTAAATGGGTCTCCTTTGGGCTATGCATAAATTGACTAATTAAACTCACCGCATAGGCAATATCCGGCCTGGTATGTGACAAATATATAAGTCTGCCCACTAATCTTTGGTACATATCTTTTTCAACAGCAACATCTTCTTCGGCATTTCCAAGCTTTAGGTTTGGTTCTAATGGGGTACTAGCAGGTTTGCAAGCTGCCTTGCCAGTTTCCTTGAGCAAATCGGTGATGTATTTCTGCTTGAGATATAAATATCCCTTTCTCGAGTGGGCAACTTCAATTCCCAAAAAATATTTTAGTTTTCCCAAAGTCTTGATCTCAAATTCCTTGCCTAAGCATTGACTCAATAATTGTTGCTCTTCTTTATTATCTCCAGTTAATATTATGTCATCCACATACACCAATAATATTGTTACTCCCCCTGACTTGGAATGTTTAAAAAACAAAGTATGGTCCCCTTGGCTTTGTTTGTAACCCAGACCTGTCATAACTTTAGTAAACCTGCCAAACCATGCACGGGGGGACTGTTTTAACCCATATAATGCCTTTTTCAACTTGCAAACAGTGTTGGCAGCAACATCTTTACCATATCCCGGAGGTATCTCCATATAGATTTCTTCTTCAAGGTCTCCATGTAGGAAAACATTCTTAACATCATATTGTTCCAAGTTCCAACCATAATTGGCAGCAAGGGACAATATCACCCTAACTGTGTTCATTTTGGCAACCGGAGCAAAGGTCTCCAAATAATCAACTCCATAGGTTTGGGTGAACCCTTTGGCAACTAGTCTTGCCTTATATCTCTCAATTAATGCATCAGCCTTGTATTTCACTGTATAAACCCATTTACATCCAACTGGCCTCTTTCCTATTGGTAAGGTGACTAACTCCCAAGTGTTGTTCTTCTCCAATGCCTCCATCTCTTCATCCATGGCTTGCCTCCATTTTCTGTCAGACAATGCCTCAGATAGGGTATTAGGTAGAAGTACAGTGTTTAGGTTTACTAGGAAGGTTTTATGGGTAGGAGAGAAATTTTTAAAGGACAGGTAATTTGAGAGAGGG